GTCAGAAATAACGCATGAAAATCAAACTCAAAAAATAGTGAGAGAGAAGTGGAAAAACAACACATAACTAAAGTCACATGACAGGGAAAAGGGTAAAAAAGAGAATATTATATATATTATATGTAATATTCTATATCTATATATAATACACACACATACGCATATATGTATATATATGTATATACCGTAATCACGTGACCGAAGTCAGTAACACCGCCGCGGTCGCGCGACTGCGGTCAGTGACCCCGCCCCCACCAAGGCCGCCCGGCCGAGGTCAGTGCCCCGCCAAGGCCGCGCGGCCGAGGTCAGTGACCCCGCCAAGGCCGCGCGGCGGAGATCAGTGACATTACTCTGTAGTATGTATATAATACATATAATACAATATAAAGTATAATATTATAAATATATAATAAATTATATATGCAAGCAGTTTTTTTTCACTATATGCAAGCAATTTTTTTCACGGTATTTTAGCAAAGAAAACAAAAATTTTTGAAAAAAATAACATGTAATTTTGTTTACATTTTATATATTTTTATGTACAAGTGTGTATATTAATTACATCAGTCGCGCAATTCGACGATGATATTCTTCATTCCGCGAAGCGAAATACTAAAAACAGGAAGAAATATAGCGCTTGAATACATCAAGACCGCGCTTCGCAAGTCGATCTCATCCACGAGTTAGTTTCGCGGCTAATGATCCGCGCTCGGTAGAGCGCGTTTCTAACGGAGATTCCGTCGCCTGTTAAATGACCGATCGGTCTCCCCATCTCCCCGTGGATTCTCAATAACGGTTATGATGCAAAGATAATGCCGGGGCGTGGTTTAATGTCATTTTAGCGTCGCGATGCTGTGCAGGACGCCGTTCGGGTCGAGGTCAGAAATCGAAATGTACGTACGTACGTCTGTACGTTCCCGCCAGTCGGCTTAAAACACCTGGAGCACGCATCGTTGCATGATCGACGATCGGTATGCAGAAGTCGATGGTCCGTCGAAAGGTGAGAGATTTAAGGTTAATAGAGGTGAGGGTTTTTACCGCGTCATTACCATGGAGACTCATCTGGAGGAGAATGACGTTGTCTCGCCGATTCTCGCGTGTCAATACTCGCGGAACGCGATTCGTCTGCGCAAACTCGCAGACGAATCGCTCAATCCGAATAAATACTTCACTCGGACGTAACTAAATAGATTTTTTCGTCATTTCAGCTCGATAGTTCTCATTTAAACTCTTGCGGAATCGGTTTTACGAACAAATATAATATCTTTTAATTGGTGAAAGTGAATATTCGTCGTCGCGCGCGCGCGCGAGCGCAGTTGTTGCTCTCGGTCGAAGAGTCGCGAGGGGACGTTTAGTCGGGATCATTAATTTGTCGCGGTAAAGTTACGATCGTGGAACTTCCTCATCGGCCTTACATTACGAGAAACTTACGGTGCTACTCGCCGCGGCGAATGCATAATCGCCGATTACTCTAACGAGTACGTGGCGGTGCATCGAGGCGACTAATTAAGCGATTATAGCGTCCCGGGCGAGCCTAACGAGTGTTAATACACCGAGCCGAGTCGACTGAAACCCAACGGAGGTCAACGCGCCTAATCGAGCACGACGACGACGACGACGAGCTTTGCTTATCAACGTGTTTGCAGAAAACCCTTATTTCGCGGCTTGAGATTACTGCGCCGCTTCTCCCGCTCTCGATTACGTAAACGCGAACGTATATCTCTTGCGCGGTTTCGTGCTCTTCGTGTTTTATCCTTCGTGTGTAGATACTTGGCTTGCGATAGATAGTGTGTGTGTGCAGTGTGGCAGCAGATTATCAACAATATATATCTAAAAGCTATTAGAAAGTTTCGAATATAATAAAAAGAAAGAAAAATGAAAAGGAAAATCGAAAGAAACAAAGCGCGCACGTGTTGCGTCTCTCCGAGAATATTATTATTGCTCTTCGGACACACACTTCGTGTCGGGTTTTATACTGATTTATTACTGTCACTGATACAGTAAGCTTTATCAGCGTTAAATTAATTTCCGATAGTTAAACAGGCATATCCTTATTAGCAGTTTTCGAGATGTGCGTGCAGATTAGACTCGCGAGAGGAAAACCGCACATTGAAATCCAAGCGGGGAGCGATAACAAGGTTTCGAGCGGTCGTCGTGACTGCGAGTCACTGTATTTTCGCAGTAGCTCGATAATCCATCCAGCCGACTAATTAAGCGATTAGCTGCCTATTGGATTCATCCGACGACATCAATCGGCGGTTAAATCGCGGTCATGTCACAGATCGACGTTGCTTCGGGGGAGCGACCCGCAATATCCGCGGCGGATATAAAATCGAGGATAATAACTCATCGCGTGTTCGTGAATTATACGTTGCGGCAGGCGTCGTCGCGCGCGGCCGTTGCCGCCGCCGCCGCTGTTCGACGTTTTCATTTTAATAGAAACCGATCGACGCGGTCGCGAGAGACGACCGACCGGTGAGAATAAGTAGGAAGTCTCGAGGAGATGAAAGAGAGAGGAGGCTCTCTCGCGAGGAGAGGCGGCGCGCGGCAAGAGAGAGAGAGAGAGAGAGAAGCAAACGCGGCCATGTAATTAGAAATCACGGGGGATTTACGGGGCATCGGGCAATAAATCCAAAAAGTAACGGCTAATGGTACGCATATTGACGTATCCATCTGGCTATCGTTCATCTTTCTCACGAGTCCCGCGTTGTACGCCCCGACGACGACGACGACGACGACAACGACGCGCGCGCCTTGCGGCTACTTCGCTCGCGCGCGAGCGACTCGCACTCTCGCTCGCTCGCTCGCTCGCTCGCGGGATGGACGACGAGACCGAAAGAATCGACGCCTCCAGAATGAACTACGGGGCTTTCTTCTCAGGGGGAGAGACGTCGCGCCGACCATAAGCACGCTTGATTTACGTTAAAAGCCGAGTCGGGGCCGCGCGCGTTGAGTCTTTATCGAGTAGGAGTGAGACGATGATGATGAACGATCGGCGATTTGTAGAGACGATCGGCAAACGCGCGCGCACATGCTTATGCGAAATGAATATACGCGTATGTACGTATGTATAGATATAAATGTGTACGCGTCCGAGCGAATCTGCTGATCATCGCAGTCCGTGGCCGATATTCCGCGTGCACAAAACGCGCTTTGAGAAGATCGCTTTCATGTAGGTAGAAAAATAGCAATCACAATCGTCTTTCAGCAGTTCGTTACGTGCGGTATACAATCTTATCAATTGTCGTTCCACACAAACACACACACACACACAAGAAGCGACAGCGTATGGACAGAACCGTTATACGAGGTTTGTAACTTTCATTCTAATTAATTATTTAATTGCAAAAAGTGATTATCTGCGTGTGTATTAAATTAAAAAATTAATTTAATTAAGTCGATATAATTAAGAAATATATAACTTTCATCGTTTAATTTTCATTATCAGAACTAGCTAAACCACTAGTCAAATTAACAAATTAATTAAATTAATTTTGTATATATGTAACTAAAACATTTATGGAAAGTGATGTATTTGCCTAGAACTTTTTTTTTATCTTTGATCGTTGTAGTTGTTTAATTTCCATTATCAGAACGAAACTAAGGCTTTGAATTTAATACCGACTTCCTCGTTTCATCGGCGTGTATTCTTTCGACTTGTTCTATTACTGTTCCGCTAATTTCACCATGTAAATGCATAAAAGCGGCGGATACACGTCGACATCGTCGTGGCAGGCGACGTAATTCTCGAACGAGTAGGCGCAGTGCTCGCGCGCGCGGATTAACGTCTTCATTCCGGGAGAAACCCTTCGCTCGCATGGTGCGCGCCGGTAATCGATCGGTTATGGTAATCCGAGCGAGCGTCGAGAGCGCGATCGTTAAAAAAGCCGCGCGCCCACCGTTGCGTTTGTACCACGTTACTCGCGGCGATAAGCGGCCACGATGCATGCAGTTCGATTAACGCAACAACGGGCGCGTGAGCGGTGGCCCGTCGTGCGTGAAAAGAGAGAAACCCACGGGAGAGAAACGCCCACGCCGGTCTACCTGCGCGATCGCGGAGGTGATATGTTGATTCGAGAGATCTCATGACGTGCTCGTGAGACGATTAGCATTTTGCTCGTTAACATTGTAGACAGTGACGATGATATTTTCGTATCGCGGCTACGCAACGTAACCGGCGACTATCGGGATCTATTACCACATACATACGACGTAGTGAGATTTTAGACTTTGTGCTTTCATCTTCAAATCTGCTGTTTGTAATTACGGGCTGAGTGTGAGATCAATTAGCGATCAAGTCTTGCGATTTTTGTTCGACGGAACAAACGTCCTTTCGAACGTTTATTATTACGTTCTCAAACGTAGATCAGCTCGAAGCAACGTTAAAAGGCGTCGGCTGTATTTAATGATCGGTAGTGTATAGGCGGGGTCACGACCCCGACGTCACGATCGCAAGTAACACGGACGAAAACGAATTGTTGCTCGACGTTATCCATTACGATCACGGAATTGTTTATAATGTCACTGCGCGCCGGTGCATTTTACCTCCTAGCCAAAAGACCTTATTCAGAGATGACCTACTCCCCGAGACGTAGAGAGATACAACAACACTAAAAGGATGTCATTTAATAATTTATTTACCGGGCGGAGATTGCGATCAGCGATCGCTCATCGAATCACGCTCCGCAATCAGCCGACGTTTTACTGCACCATTGAAATAATTCACGTTGCGCCATCGCGTGTATATCTTACACGACGTCAAAGTGTGCAAAGGAGTAACGTGAGTACGTGTGAACAACGTTTCAGCTTGCAAAAAGACTTCGCCCTCACGTCTTCATTTGTAAATGAACAACTAACGAAATTACGATGTAAAACGCTGTGTGTTTGATATTCAAGTTGTTGTGTCGATTTGATATAATAAAACACTTTTGCGTGGGGAACAATTAGTTTTTAAAAAGGTTTGCAAAACGATAGCGAATGAAATACTTTGATTGTTACAGGATACACGGATGTTGTCGGAAGACCAGTTATCGAATTCGAGGACAACGTATCCACGAGAGAAGCCTTCTCCATTAGAGAGACATCATCGTTCCTGCTCTACCTCGCTCGTCTACCTAGGTATGTACATATCCGTCATCTTCCGACCGCGTGTTCTCGTCGCGCGTTCGCATAATGCATCAACTTCGTGAAAGAGAGAGAAAGAAGGACGAACGAACGTCGAAATCAACCCGTACGATTCCACACAGAGTCGCACAAGTTGCCGATAAATCAAGCGGGATTATCGCGCGGGATCAGTCGCGCGCGCGCGTGCGCGCCCAACGGATTGTGGTCATAATTTATGAATTCGATTAGCGGACGACGGCGGCCGCGATAATTTTTGCGAAGGCTGTTTTTAAACCTGCAGAAAATTCACACTTTACGGCCGCGTTGCGCTTCGCGCGCGTGAGACACCCATTTATTATGGCCGGCATCTGTACTTCTCAACGAGGCCTGTTGTAGCCGATAATAACTGAAATCATCCGGCACCGAATTGGCAATTTATTAATTCCGCGCGCGGGGGAAGAGAGAAAGAGGAGCGCGCGAGCGCGCGCACAAACGAGCGAGTGAGTTTTTCGCTAAATAAACGTGCTCTCTCGCGCGCACGCCTGCGACGCCGGTGTCGGTAATAATTATAATTTTCCGCCGTCATGAAGTCGGCGGACACGCCCACTATAATCGCCGATGCGGAGCAAAATCGCGGCTTATCGTTCCCTTCCTGGGGCCTGGTCTCGGCTGTATCTCTCCGTTTTACAAGCTTTCTAACGAAGCTTCCTCTCGTTTGTAAGCTATTTAATTAACACGCTTATATGACGTGCCCGATAGAACACTTTCTTTTCCAACATCGCGCCGATTGAACACCGTGAGAACCGAATCGGAGCAAATCGACGCGGCGCGATTTAATTACGGAAAACGCTCGTACGCGGAAAATTTTATATTCAACGAGATTGTTATCGAAATGAATTACTAATTAATTACTCAATATTTAATTAAAGTATTGAAAACCACATTTAATGTTGATTAATGAGAATAAAATGGCGAAGTCATAATGTTTACTTTCTTCGGAATAACAAATTTTGCATCAACAGACTTTTTAAATTGCTATTTTATATATGTTCGATTTAATTTGTAACATATCCACACCGCAACAGTCAAGATGTAGAAACAAATTCCTTGCACATGTCTTCCAAGAATTTTTAGCTTCAGAATGCACGTTACTCCGTTTTGCTATTCAAGTACAAGTGCAGTTTTATTTCATCCCTCGGCGTCTTTGATGCACATCGCGTTTCTCGTCGATGGATCGCAACGTCATCGCTACGCTCAAGACCGCATTCGTGCGTGATGTGTTTTATTCTCTAGCTCGTAAAACACATCACCGCACGGAACGTCGCGGCAGGTATCGGTCATCACGCGGCTTTATAGTTTTCCGTGCAGGGATACCACACACAAGCGCGAATGAACAAGAGAATATCGGGACGGGACGGAAGGAGCGAGCAGGAAAAGCGCGCGCTATTACGCTCCGGGCGTCTCTCTCTCGACGAGAAACACGCCGATCTATCTTTCGGCATCTTCGACACGAGCCGAGCCGACGTTTCCGCGTCGGCGACTCGTCGTTTTTTCTCCCCGCCGGATACCCCGGCGATGACGGGTCTGGGAAAAAGTCCCGCGGAAAATTTCCGCGATTTCATCCATACCGCGTCGATATCCCGGCGCGAACTTTAACTCACGCAGCCGATCGGACGTCCCCGTGGGCTTCGCGGATTGCGATACATCTGCGGGAATATAATTGAGGGGATTTCTGCGCGGAAAATCATTTTGCGAGATCGCGCTTCCCGGAGAATTAATGTGAATTTACGACGCGGGGAGATCGAAACGAGACACAACGAGAACCGACCGACGATTTTCCGCGTCGATACCGCGCGCGCGCGCGGTCGCGATATCCAAAGCTCGCGCGCGTTTAAACCGATTTATCGCTCGCGTTCCCAGGATCGGTATATACTCGCCGCCGTGTGTGTATCGGAGAGCGATACTTCTAATTTATCGTGGTCGAGTTATCATCTCGCGTGGCCACAATACGCATTGTTACGTGTCGATATCTTTCGTTGCCGGAAGAAAGGCTAGGCAGAGACCGCGGCGGCTCTCGGGAGCGCGCGCTCGCACACGTAAGTACGCGCGCGGACTATCTTGGAGGAGAGCGGAGAAGTGTGGAATCCGCCGCCGCTTGCTCGATGAAAGCCGACGGTGTCATAATGATCCTCTGAGCGGAACACGATCGCCATAAATCAGCATGCCGGTTATATGCGGCGTACGGCGCGCGGGATTCATTAGCATTTTTCTGCGGCCGCGGTGGGAAAGCGTCGGGACGACGTTGACATAGCGCCCGGTCGGACTATCGGTGGCAGATTACGCGCGGATAAGCCCGGCGATGCGGATTTATTGCGCTCCCGAACAAAACGACCGAACGTCGTCGTCGTCGTCGTCGTCGTCGTCGTCTGGGAAACCTCGCGTAAAACTGACTCCAGAATTTTCACATATACGCGTGTATTCGAAACTCCGTACTTAGCATCTTTATCGTAGCGTTAATATCGTGATCGTAAACGATGGTGAACGATCTTTCATCTCTTCGTGCACGATTGCGTCAAGTGTCGCTTCACTCGAAGGACGAATAAAATGTTTATTAAATTGTTTATCAAATATTTATAAAATGTTTGTTTGATTTAGATTCAGAAAATTGCAAATGGAATATTATAACAAAATCATGAGAGAGACAAAAAATATTGTCGTAAGTTGATTTAATCAAATTTTACAGACGAAACAGAAAAAGCGTTAGTTATGTGTGCGTGGAATGATATTGAGTTAACAGTAAACTTGTAAATAATAATAATGGTAATGACACACCACGTAGCCACAGGTATGTATAAGTTAACGACATCTTGACATTGGCAACTACTGGCTAATTTTCTTCTCGCGTCATGAAGACGTCGTGTGTAGAGACGCTCGCTTTCCTAATTACCGGTTGCTGGCATTTGCCGTCCCAAAGTCGGCGCTTTTCACTCTTGCACGTCGCTTCCTAGATCCGACGCGAAACCTGTCTCGAGCAGTTCTAATAAAAATCGACCTGATCACGCCTCGGTTTCGCGGAGATTGAAGGTGAAATGGCGAAAGCGCTCGCGCGCCGTTATCGCGCGTTAAAGCGCGCCAATCGTGCGCATGTGCCTGCGGAGTATCGAACGATGTTTATTGACTGATTGAAATTTGCCGACTGCAATACGGTGGGCGGCTTGCGTCGTCGTCTATAATCGACCGCGCGCATTTTCGATTCAATTAAACTACTCGAGTTCGCACTTATGTTTGTGCGGTTGCGATTAATGTTGTGAACGAGAAGAGAAACCACACACGTGATATATCTTCATCTTAAGAAAAATATTACGCGTGCGCTGTGACACATTTTATATAAAAATATCTAAAAAATATTTTATATAGAAATTAATTAAAAAGGAAAATTACTGAGACTTGCAAGTTTTTTAAACATGGAAGTTATTTATATCTATGATAAAATAATTAAACAATATTTAATAATAATTCTTTCACAGCGAACGAACGTTGAAAATTAATCGTCAAATAATAACATCAACAGACAATCACGTGTGTTCGTAATGCGATAAAAGGTAAAAGAAAATAAGTTGATGCACAAACGATAAATCTCGCTCGCGCGCGCGTGTAACGGATCTGTACAACTTTCTTAATTCGAGATTGTCGTAGTGTGAAGTAACAAGTCACGTTTCATCGCAGTGGCTCTTGCAGCAGTATGGCCGGCTTGAAAGCTTATATCTCATACGGGAGAAATATATTAAGCGTCAAGCGAGACTCCCGCGGTTTGCGTTACGCGTAATAACTTGATTGGTCGCGGTGAAAGGTCGAATCACCAAAAGTAATTCGCAAATGCATTCGCCGGGCAAAATTGACCTCGAGTCGTCTTTCACCGTTAACTCGCATCACCGGTTTGTCCGGAGAGATGAATCGGAGCTCTCCTCTTTGATCGTTATATTAAGAAAGGAGGGTGCAAAATTGAGATTGGCGCGCGAGTATACGTGTGCAAAAAAAGTGCGCCCAGAATGCATTTATGACAAAACCTCCTCCTTATTAATAACGAGAATTAATGAGATTTTATTCACGGCAAATTTACAAGCCGCGTTAATTATTTTGTGATAAAAAGAGAAAAAAATATGGCGCATGTTTGATCTTTCTCTTTCCTCTCCTCTCAAAAAACCAGACCTGTTGTGACTCGTCCCTTTTCGCAGTGAACGCGAATTGAATTCGCGACGAAGAACTCGTCGATATCGCGCGATCACCTTCGCACGACGCTCCGATAAGCTCAGTAGCGCGTGTCGGTGTTTGCCGCGACCAGATGCGCGCGCAACCGCGACTGATAATAATTAATAGACGATCTCGCGCGAGCATAAAGCGGTAAGTCGGGAAAACATATCGGTGGCTGGCAACCCGTCGTGTATGTATCGTGTATCGTGGGACGGAGAGTCACGAGCAGCGCAAGCAGATCGCAGGACGATAGGATCGCGGGGGATCTCACGTTGATCCAGTTGTGCACCTGACCGCATTTCCACATGAGTTATGGACGCGCATCAATCCTTTTATCCCCTCTTTTCCTCCCTCCTTCGTCGCTTTCCTCCCGCGGAGGAACCGGCGCGATCGTTTCTCGGCTCTCTCGTCGATCTGGCAAACAACCCTCGTTTCTGGAGATGGTAACGGTAACGACTTCGGCGAAAAACGTCCCTCCTCGTCGCTATCGTTCGCTTTTTCCCTCCGGGACGGGAAGATCCGCAGCTGCCAGCTTACCGACCCACTTCCAAGATCGTATCTGGCAGTGTCCGGGTCTCTCCTTTTCTCGTTTCGGATCGCGCCGCAAGTCGTCTCTTCACTCTTTTTTAATTGTAATCATATTTTATCCCTTGACCACCCAGGGTAGGTGGTTTTTTTTTTCTAATTTACGTCTAAAACCGTTCAAGAGAAACGATACGGTCGCGGAAAAAATAGACGATCTTTTTATTTTCTTCAATTGCACGTTTTCACAAATGTTCTGTTGATCTTTCTCGTGCATTCACTTCAATTTATTCACGCACAGCGCAACGTGTAATCATACCGACTGTATATACATTTCGTTTTGTTAGGCGCAAACATTTGTATTTTCCTTTTCCACGGCGAGACACCGTGTAATTACGGGGGGCTCCTTCGCTTCATTTTCTTGCTCTCGGGCGGGAAAAGCCGCGCGCGCGATTTTTGCGTAACAGTTTCTCCATCGCGCGGCGCGCGATTAGCGTCGTAAAGACGTAATGTTTGAACACAAGTCGGTCTTTACGCGCTCGTTAGAGCACTATTAGCGGCATTAGAACATTATTAAGAATATAGGTCTTCGCGTTTTTCAGCGTCGATTCGCACGATCTGCCGTGGTTCGCAGACGAACGCTCCACTTACGCGCTCGAGAGCTCGACTTTCTATACGCGCTCGTCCCGTCCCGTCCCTTCAAGGTTCCGAAATTCGAGAAGTCAATCACTCACGCAGTCGATCACGCGCCGCGCAATCGATCGATTTTAAATCGACGGTCGGTTCCGTTATGTTAAAGCGAACATTCGATTGGACGATTATTTTAATGGCGTATATCCTTTTCTTTAATAATATTCTTTTAAGTTTTACACTTAAAGAGATGAGCTCGGCTTTTTCTTTTTAATCGTCTGGTATACATCTTTAATGTTCCGATACACAGCGTAGCGTTGACATTTCCAATTTGTGCTCTATCGCAGAACACGAAATTCTCGAAACGATCATCAGCCGCGCACCGGTGTCTTTACGAAGACATTACGCTCGACGACGTGCTAATTTCCTACATTTAACTAAACTTTATGATTCGCGACCAATCGTCAGACTGCAGATCCTTGGCCATTCGAGTTGGCGGAAAAAAGCGGATTCCCGAAGCGGTTATTAGACGCTTCTATACGATATAATTCACGCTCATTCGCTCGAAAGACGTTTCCGTGTACGATTGCGCATGCTGCGCCACGCGGATATTCTTTTACAGTTCGTGAGAGAAAAAAGAAAATTTACGTCGTGATAGGCAGAGTTCTGTGAGCTGTGAGACGATGACGATATCGTGTTGTCGCGCATCTGATGCAAAAATCTGATATCCGCGATGCGAAATTATCGACGTTGCGCGACCGTCAAGCCGCGCGCCCAGAACTTTCCTCTCTCGACGTCAATTGCGACCCGACAGTCGGTCGTGACGCGGTTCCCGTTCGACGACAACATTCGCCCACCCATGACGCGGTCGTGGTTTTGAACCTCGCCGTGTTACGAACGAACTCTCACGATGCCGAACGTGCACGCCGCATCAGGGTCTAGGTTGACAATGGCGCTAATGCGCTCGGAGAGTGGGCAGCAATATATATATGTATATATACATATATAGTTGACAGTTTGTATTGTTTGTATATACACATATATAGTTGACAGTTTGTATTGTTTGTATATACACATATATAGTTGACAGTTTTGTATTGCGCATCGTAAATCCGCGACGCAATTAACAACCCTGGCTTTATCTTTAGAGAACAAGCACAGTTTTTTACATTCTCTAATGTAATTTTCTTGTCGGAGACGTACGAAGAGATCGGATTATCGAGAGAAATTTATGTAGTATATGTTCGCACTTACATCGTATCAAATTACGCCACGCGAAATATTAAACCATCAAATCGTTAACCGCGAAAGCACGAGTGGAAATTAACCGTTGAGCGTCGACGAGCGTTATGAACTTATCTTGGCACCGCATCGGACAAGTATAGCTGTATAATTAAAGTAGTTTCCGGTCCATTCCGCGCGACATCGACAACGCGACGCCAACTTCCGCCGCGACGCTGGAGGTCTCGTCGTTCCCGGTTTTCAACGCGTCGCGTCACGAAAGGAAGTGACAACACTCGGGACACTCCGGCGAGCGACAAAACCTATCGCTGGCGCCCTTTCATTTTAGCTCGCTCGACGTGTGGGACGTGTAATTTAGGCAAAGCGCTAACTGTCAAGCGCGCTAACGGGCGATCGGTGTCGACACGGCCACTTCGGGGCCTCTCCCGCAAATCGATCTCGTTCCTGTTGGTTCGAAGGGACGTGAGAGGGACGCGAGCTCACACACTTTACTAACACCTATATTTATCACACGTCAAGCAAGAACGCTGGCGCGCGTGTTCGCGAGCGCTGATGAGCCCGACGTCGTTGCGAGATGAGAGGAACGTGGGCGTCGCGCGAGGTTTAACTCGGCGAAATCAAAGTGATTTACTTATCAACACGCGATCGCCGGAGTTCCGGGGAACGACCGCCGCTGTATGATCTAACTGTTCCGCGCCGTTGAGTCCGGCGGGGACGTGTCATTACGGTTACATGGAAACGGCCGGGTTCGATAATAAACGCGCGACGATTCCGCGACGACGAAGGGTGCCTCGATCTTGTCTTCTTATCTATCATCGCGCGGTAAAACGAGGAATACGCGCAAATAACTGAGCCGTAGAGAAGGTACACGCACGCTCGGACGTGCATCAATAACTGCTTAGGAAAACATTATCAGATGTCCGAGAGAGCTTTTCAGCTTGAATAAAAAAAAAACGTTATTACGTTTTCTGCGTCTCGTCGTTCCCCGCGAAACATGATCGTGTTTCTTGATATTTCTTTTATGTAAAAAAAGAGATTATCAATCTCTAATTTAAAAAAACAAATTAAACATTGAATGAAGATGAAATAATTTGATATAACGTAGAGAGAGAAGTAATAACATTATCGAACATTGTAATGTAGCGAATATTCCGCACTGAAATCCGGAAATATGATCTCGGGTTCGAAGGTCGTCTCTTACGTGACTCCGTAATGGATGTGCAACGACAGAAAGCCAGGACGGGGCGATTTGATTTTATCTCGTTCGCTATCGCCTTTACGAGAATCACTCCGAGTACATCGACTCGCCGGTACCGGCTGTATGATTTGCGCTATCGAGTTTTGCTTGAGGGAGCAGCAACGCGCCACTCGAAAGTCTCGGTCGCGCAAGTTGCACGTGCAATTTGAGAAGGTTGTCACGAAGCGTTGCATAGGCGGCCCCTTCTCGTCCCGGTTTGACGCTGACGTGTGTGTGTGTGTGTATACATGTATAGCCGATCGAGTTCACCGCGTATCGATCGGCCAGGCCGGGAAATCGACGGTACGTCGTCGACGACGACGGTCGTAACCTCTGGAGAGGAAGGGAAACGGGACGGGAGTGAGAAATATATGTGTATACGCGCGCTCTCTCGACTCTCTCGTAGCCTGTCGCGTTGATGACAATTTAGGATAGATCGCTGCACTACGATGTGCAACAACAAAGCACGGCATTGTAACCGTTAGATACTGCACCACTGTGCGCGCGCGAGAAGGACAAGAGTACAAAAGGGGGTGTGTAGGTGCCACGGGAGCCGCGTGAGAAACGTTGCATGCTTAATGCCAACCACCCACGTGTCATAACTTAATGCCGTTTCGCGATACCCGATACAACTGGGTTACGTTTAGCCGGCTGAGGTTGCGCTTACGCGCGATTTCAGCTACCGCGCTTGAGACGCGATCTGTTTATAGGCAGATATATGTATATATTTTATTGCATATAAGCGGATATATGTGTACGTATATATAGTTAAAAGAATATATAATATATATATATGTATAGTTTCTCTATATTTATTTAGTTCTGTGTAAAATTCTTATTGATGTGATTACTGCATAAAAAAAAATTTGCTAAACTAGCAAGAAGATCAATTACTATGTGACTGTTAGGACAAATTTACTAAATCTATTATATGTTTAATTATATTATATATCGAAGTTTTGTGTTGCTAACAAAATATCTTGTTGATGAAACAAAAGATTCAGTAAATTTTTTTTATTGACAATAATAACAAAACTTGTATCCGTGTGTTTATATTAGAAATTGCGATAATATGATCGTTAATTATTCTGGTGATATTATTCGATTATTTTTTGCAATTCGATAACAATAAACATCTCGTAAACACCTAATTGTTATGATTATATGTATCTCAGTACTTCGTCTTAAATTCGAAAACACGCCGTGATGTTTTTCAAATTCAATCGCGCGTACTCAGCAGTCGGTGACACTAAAAACGCTCGGCGGTTGTTATCGCGATTTAAGCGCTTCGCCTTAACCTTAACCATCGAGACGGCGAACGTCGTGAGAAACGGCACGGCGCGATTTAAGTGCATAACGAGGTCCCGCTTGACACGGGCGTGCGCGTCGATTTACAAAAGCGTTGCCACACAACGAATGACACGTTTCACTTCGCGCACGACGACGACGACGACGACGACGGAGAAATCGTAGCAGCACAACACGTGGGTGATCTCTCGGTGTGTGCAAACGTACGTTATGTTCTACTGTGACACGCGATGACTCACGTGTGCGCACATTGAATTCCATGACGGAAGCGATAATATTTGTTTAGGAGATTCGACGTTTGTAAATACGAAGACCTGCGCTCGCGTATGCGACGAGGATACGATTTCGATAAGCACTCGAGAGCAACGCCGTTGAATGTCCAGGCTAATACTCGAGAGACGCGACGGACAATGATTAATTCTTATTTGACCGTGGCATTCTGCTGCGTTAGTTAAAAAAAATTAACCGTGAGAACGCTATCTCATCGATTGCTACTTCAACGAAAATAAAACCACGAGTTGTCCGTTTTGTTCAATCAAATTTTTATTCGGCACAATGTCTTTGTGCAAAATGTCGTGATACCGTAACAGCGAGGTCTCGTTTCATTTGATCGCAAATACAAGTCGGTCACAATTTTACTTATACAGCAAATTATAAATAATTAATTTTTCTTCACAATTTAATGGCTTGCTTCTTTTATGTTCTAGCTCCGACCAAACAAAAGATGGCTTCACCATTTTTATCCGCGGCGACTCCAAGGACAGTCTGGAGTTCTTGGATAAAGTGTTGGTTCTGCTGCAGGTAAAAGCGTGTGTAATTATACTGAAGATCAAAGACTTTGTGGGAATAATTACGCGATTAAATATTATCGCGACTGAAATCATGCACATTTCATCTCATCTTTACAGGGCAGAATCAACGTGGCTCAGGCTCTCGTACTCCGAAGCGCCACGACCACGGACGGACCGGTCGATTCTCTCTTACCTTTCAGCAGCGTTCAGGTGAGCCCGACGGCGACAAACAATTAAATCAAAAACGGCATTGAGCCCGTGCCTTCCCGCGGGCAAGAAAGTTCGCCGTGCGCTTGATCGTACGTTGTTTTTGTCGCGCTATGATCATTGATCCAGATTCCACGCCGCATTGTGATTCGAGCTTCCCGAGCGCGCGCACGTGCGTTTCGTACGTGCGCGCCTCGTAATTGTGTCGCTCGGCTGTGTTATTGAACGTGCGCGCGCGCGCTATTTTCCATTGTGACGAGCGCCTCTGTCCATCGCGAAACGAATGCGCTCGAAGCCCGAGCGTCAAACGTAATTTACGAGCGCACAAGTGCGAGGATCATTCAACAGTTTTGGAAGGGAGGGGATACGTCATAATTACCCATAAACCTTTTCCTTTCAGACCGTCGTCGTGAATGACGCCACTCTGGTCAAGTATATTCCCAGGCGAGAAGAAAATCACGACCAGATGCAATGGATCGCTTTTTACAAGGTAATTGTGCGGGTATTTACGATAACAGAGCACTTAGGTAAGCGCTGACGTCGCGAGAATCGATCGAGAAATGATAAACATTTATTTTACGAACAGTAATATAAAACATTTCGTATCTAGAAATTTGTAGAAATTAAATAGAAATTAATTACATAAGATAATATGAGAAATGTCCTCGGGTTCTTAGAAATTAATTAATTAATTTTTTCTTGTTTCTAGAAAGTCAAAAAACATATACACTTTGCACAAAAGAAAAATTGTTTTTTTAAAATTGCTGTTTGTTTACATTCCCTTCATACTTACGTACATAATACATATAATCTGTTCTAAAATGAGAAATGACTAAGCTGCTTACATAGCATTGTGCGAAGTTGATGGAGACTAATGATAGCGGAACAATGTGTATCTTGGTGGTGGCGCAATTCTTGCGACAAATTGTTATCGCAACTTGTCGTTCGACATCAGGCAAACGTAAGGTTACTTCAATCAGCTTATGACGGTGATTCGGCAGGTTTACTCGGAATAAATACGCGCTCGAGAAGTCGCTCGAGCGAAATAATTTGTGTCGGCTTGCTCGCGCATTAAAAGGCTTCGCAAAGAATTTATCGTTCGACCGTGGCACTGACCGTCAATATATCACATTATCCGCAAAGAATGTTTAGTAATTGTTACGACTATTTTACATCGTACACCATTGTCGCGTACACGTCCGATAATCCCATATCGTCATGCGCTCGAGCCGTTTTGCCTGATTGTCGGTCCACTTCGCAATATTGTCGCAATGAAAGAGTTCACCGACCGAGATTAGTCCGTGTGTCACTGACCGATTGTATCATTACAACCTCGATTGATCTGATGCATAGATGCGGGTTCGCAAAATTGCAACGTCACTAAGTATTTGTCAGATTTGTAAATTACAAGGCGCACGCATAGCCGTACAGCAACTTGCGTTCACGATTGTTAGGTATTTTTGCGCGATTATTATCTCTCTATATTATCTTTTCGAAAAAAAAGTTAATTCCCTCGCATTTGGAAGCACATACATAATCCTGACGTTGTAACGGCTATTAATATATCTTTGTCGCGAAAGCGCGAGTGCAGAAATGCAGTATCGAATTAATTACATCGGAAGTCGATACCGATTGCTATGCCGCGCGCGCATTCGTCGCGAGTTGATCTAACGCGATTGGCATCCGCACGCGATCCGATTCGAGTGAACGGACAATTGGAGCTAAGAAATCATCGAGATAATTGTCCGGTGTAACTGTCCGGGCTTTCCGCATGAGATATACGTCAGCCATTACGTACCTCTTTAAACAATGCGCTCCGCGTAAGGGTCATAATCGACCGGATCGATCGCCGGTTTATTGAATCACGCAATCGCCCGTACCAGACATGTCTACTTTTACGTCGCTCCCCCGGACATTCCATCCGGACAACACACGCACACACACTGGTTGCCGATCAAGGACATTTCTCGTTTGGACTTTATTATCGGGAAGTTGAAACGAATAAAACGCGTGCGTTTTGATTTGATGTATTTTAATTTTTCCGCAGGAATACGACAGTCTTATGACGGAGTGGCAATCGGCCGGTCGCAGATTGGCACTCGAAATGTCGGAGCTGAAGGAATACACAAGCCTGTCCGGCACTTTGACGCCTCTCGGTCGGCTCCTCGCGGACCCCACATTGAGAAGAACGTCCAGAGATGCCGAAGAGGCCATCGCCGCGCTCGAGGAACGCGCGGCCCCGGTTCTGCACATTGATCACGTTAGGTAAAGGAAACTTTGTTGTTGTAACACGGGAACATGGAAAAAAAGTGTTATTTTTTTAGTTACAAACATGTTATGTTACGTGCGTCGGTCACTCGCATTGTCATGTATATTAAGCAAAAATATTCTAACGCAACGATAAGGAAACGTTTGCGATCGGCGCGTGCTCAGTTGCGTTTTAACCTTTGCTTGTGACGCGCGCGAGAGACACGTTGCGTCGATCTTTCGTGTACGTTACGCGCGGATTCCTAACGGTGCGCCACGAGCCACGGTTCCTTTTTATGTTTCCAGATTGTCGGTGAAACGAGCCCGGAGACTGGTGGAAGAGGTTGGCAAAGCCGCCACCAGACTGGAGTCGTCGTTCGAGTCGCGACGCGCGACTATTCGCAATCTCGCGGTTCTGCGGAGCATCGAGGATCAAGCGCACGAGGTAAGTGCAGATTAATTTAATAAAATACATGTCCGCGCAAATTGGACTTAATTAAAGTTTCCTCGAAACTTATCGCGCAAGAAACTATCCGCTTTGTGCGCGAAGATAACACGCACGCCAACTTATCGACTTTCAGCTGCTGTCATTATCTAAGACAAGTCAGCAGAAACTTATACGTAGCTGCATAAATATCGCGTTGTTCGTACGTCGCAAAATGACGCTGCGATTTTCATGTATAAAACATGAACTTTTGACGAGACAATTTTTAATAGGATGCAATATTACATATTTTGTAATTTGTTTTTAAAAGTAAACAGTGCTTTTTTACTGCTTTACATTGTTCGTTAAAAAAGTTTTTCGAATTTAGCGGTTGTGAGAGTAGCCTAAGGTTGACGGCGGCCGTCGTGGCCTTGAACCAGAAGAGGAGCATCGTCGGTGCACCGCGATGTGGCTTGTTATTCCGCGCGTACATGAAAGCCCGTCGTATACACGGCTGAGACTCGCTCTCCCTCGACGATTACGGTGAAGTTATTGCGCGCGGTGCTTATGCTGTCTCGCATACGCGCGGGACCATCCTCCCCCTTGGAGAGCCGGCCACTTTTTCGAGCGCGGACTCGTGCATTGAATTCAGCCCAGTCAGCCCTCCCTCGCTCGACAAAGGGATACGAGCACAAAGGGCTCCCTTATCCTCGCTTCCACGAACGAGCTTTCGCTGCGAAAATCGCGCGCGTATATATCTGGCCGTGTCGAGCGGATCTCCGCGTGTTGACGTTCGATCTCTCATCGATCTTTCGTGAACTGTTTGTTCCCTCCGACAAACATCGTCGGACTTGTTATTCTTCGGTCCTCCGTTACGTGTGACTTTTTTTATAGTCGAGCTTTTGTTAGGATAATACAAACGCTCTTTTTTGTTGTGACGAGAAAAATTTATTCAATATTTATTTCTGAACGCGCGCACAGACTTGTTTACATAAAAAATTACGAGGAAAGAAACAGGTAATTTTTTATGTAGATATTTATTTATTATATTATTTATTGGATACATTGTTTATGTTTAAGAAAAAGAAAAATTTTCTATACATGGTAAAAAACCTGAGTTTAAAGTTTTTTTTCTAAAATTTCTAAAATACACACAAAAAACAAAATGTATCACATATAGCGAATTATGGCACGCGCAATATCCTTTCTAGTTTAATTTCCAAAATTGATCGAATCATCTCCTGCGGGATAACGTAATGCAATAATATCCCCTAATGCGCGTTAAAAGCCGCCGCAAAAAAAGGTGCGAGCACAAAAATCGACCAAAAAGTCTGCGCCCAACTATACATACCTCTCAATCTCGCGTGCTCAATTTCTTTTTTTGCGCCGCGCGTCATTAAGTCCGGCGGCTTTCCTACACGCACTCAAAGCATTCTTCGATAATTAGACACGAGATGCGTGCTGCCGCGAACTCATATACCCGGTGTGCCAATGTGATCGACGACGACGACGACGACGACGACGACGGAACGAGCCGCGCAGGAGTGCGATCTTGTCTGTACTTTCACTTCGACGAAGTGCCCCGGCACTTACCGTCACGATTACAATTTCGATCGGACCGATAATCACGAGCCGATGTCTCGACTGATTTTGCTCCTAAAAGGAAACATCGCGCGCTGCAGTTCCGACGTCGAACTCACGTCAACTGGATACGTACCGTTGCGAAATGCCGATTGCGCGAGTATCGGTCGCGGCTTATTAATCGACGATTCGTCCTAAGTGCATTCTTTCGTCGAGGCGCATTGAAAACCATAAAGGAGCCTGGCAATTAATCCGTGACATATGCACTTCCTTATTGCTGCTGTTGATCGCCGACGACGCGACGATGTTACTTCGCGCGCGCGAATAACGATAACGGGTCCTTTCCTCGCGACGTCGACTGGCGCGGCGCATTGGCGTCCAATCACGATCATTCATCCCCGCGGTGGTACTTATTATCTTATTAACCGCGCGCGCACACACTCGGTGATGTGATCTCGAGAACGCGCGTAGTGGTAATGGGCAGTTTAACGTTTCGCCCGGGATCTCGATTCATCTATCATCGGCAAACGGGTAATAAAGAAAACCAGGTAGCGCGGCGCGGGCGATAACGCGAGACAACGTTATATTGGTCTGATTAATTATTAATCGGAACGATTTTCCTCCTTCCTCCTTCGCGACGTATGTTATGATGTGTTTACGACTGGAAACATTGTGCATCTCGCTTGTTCTATCTAAAGTGCTTTCGAGTAAATGGGTCGGAATAAATCAACACTCTCATTATACAGTAATCTCGTTCGAGTTAAAATATCAAACGCGTTCTGCTGATTGCTTCGATAGAATATCGGGAAAACTCATTGAGTTCAATTTTATTTTTGTTGCATTTAAAGACAGCACGCGACAGTCGGGGAAAATTCGCAACTAATAGAAAATAAATTTGATTATTAAGTAATTGTGTAAGTTGTTACGTGTAATTCATCTCGCAGACTCTTGTGTAAGTACAGTGCGTTATTATTTTGCACTATGAGGAACATCTGCTCTGCCTTCTCTCTTTTTGTTCGATTGTTCCTATCATATTAACATAATTAATATAAGCCACGCGAGAACACACACGCGATTCGGCGATTTCGATCTGTATGATTACCGTCCAGATGTCTGGTAGATCGAAAGTGCCCACGCTCCGGGGGCATGCATGTGGAAGGACGACAACGTGTCCTGGCGGGAAGTGGGTCGGCACTGACAATTGTTTAATTGTTCGGTTCCGAGACATTTGGATCGGGACGTACTCCGCTTTCACGAGCGATCGCGAGCGAGGGAGAGACCCAGATAGACGCTCGGAGTTGCCTCATCAGCATTGAAAAACGAGAATATTTTATTTCGCCAAGCCGTTTCGCAGTGTTTTCGCAAAAAGTCTCGGTCACCGCCACGCGTTGTCTAACTGACGAGTTTGTTAAAACAAAAAAAACTAGATGTAGTGCGCGGCAACATCTAGACTCGATCTCTTCCAATGAGACTGCAATTGTTACACGAACGAGCGATCGAATAATCGTGATGTTTTTGCGTTTCAAGTCGCGGAACGATATTGGCCGTTCTAATTTCAAACGATCCACGCGAATCTATTTGGGAGAACACGCGCACAAAAGAGAAGAGCGGTCTAATCTCGTGGTGGTTCACCTCGAGCGGTAGCGCGGCCTTTCGATTGCCGCAGAATCGGCGCGCTTTGTTGTCCGGATGAAGAGAGAGAGAAGAAAAAATATAGAAAACACGCATGACAATAATGATCACGGACGAATGCCCGGAGCGGAGATCTCGTCGTGCATTCCGTTATTACGTGTTCCACTTTGATCCATTAAGCTCATGCGAATCCTCCTCCTTCTCACCTCCCTTCTCGTTCCGATCGTTAACATCGACCAGTTTCACAGGACAGGTCGATGGCATTATTGAAAGGATACGGAAAAAAACACGTGTTAGACGTTAAATCGACTGTTAATTTCTTTGCGTAACAAATAATTTTTTTGTGATTGTGATATATATATAGGGAGAAAAAAACAAACTAGTTGCACGAGCGACGATACTCGTAAATAGCACGCGGATTTACGTTCAAACAATGGAGCGAAAACTTGGTGTATGCTCGTTGAATTTCTATTGCCCGCGTAATCGCATTCTCACTTGCTTTAGCCGAGGATGACTGTCACGGAATCGAAAGAAAGCCAATCCGACTCACCGCTCATCAATCGTTCACGTGGCTGCGTCTGATCGTCGTCGGCGCTCTCTGTTCTTCGTTCTTCGACCGATCGCCGTATTTGGTTCACGGAAATAGCGCGAGCGTGCGACGAGACCACACGAACGGTGCGAAAAAAGGAGCGCGCTCGGAGCGACGCATCGATTGGGCTCGAATTAATTGCCGTAACACGGCACCGGTTCCTCCCTCTCGACGAGAGCGAGCGCCGCGTACGGAATTGCGGACGTGTGTGGGAAAGTGTGCTGGATCCGTCCGTCGACACGACCACCGGTCTTATCGCGCTAAATACACACGGCAGCAATTCCTCCAACAAAAATACACGTGTATTTTCAAAATTTATAAAATTAACAGAGCATACGAGATAGAAATATACACCTAATATGTATCTATACTTAATCTACACTTTAGATCGAAAAAAATTCTAAAGACTCTTCAGCAAAATAATTTTGCTCAAAAAATAATTGCAATTTTACATACTAGCACAACACAGGCGCGCGCTATTGTTATGTTTATTTTAATGTGTTGTGTCAGTAAACCTGTCACCACGATAACAGCTAGTATATATGTATTACAAACCATATACTACACATATGAGAGATGTCAGACGTAACACATAAAAATCAAAATCATAATTACAGTTACATGACTTTATTTTAGTCACGTGTCTTTAAAAACGTGACTACAGTAAAGTCACGTGACCAAGGTCAGTGAACATGAATCGAGAAACACATTCTAGTAAGAATAAAAGCGTAATCTTTTCACAAAATCTCTACGTTTGGTGTAACACGCGCCTCTGTTCTCTTTAAACAGCGTATTGAAGCGTTTCGGAGCAGTGAATTTTCCAAGACGCATTTTACGACGCATTTTCGCGAGTCAATTATCGTGTGCAAACAAATGACAGGGTGCAAAGTCGGAAAGTAAAAGTGTAAAATATACTTTGTACGTGTGTCTTTGTAGAGTTGGTCGTGTTTTTCTGACCGTTTCATAGAAAGCAGCCGTGAGTTACTTCTGCACGCGTGTACACCTGAAATATCTACGTCCGCACTTCCGAATATTTTCTACAGCGGAGAGTTTGAAATATTTATCTCATATCATGTCCGTGTTAAGAGGGTGTGTCCACACACCGACGTGAGAAATTTCCGATACAATATGTAAGCGCGCGGCGAACCGTGACGTTTTATTGAAAATGCTTGCGTGTTAAAAACTTTTATAACGGTACCGTCGCGCGGAATAACCGAGG